TCGCAGCAGGGGAAACATGGGGGGGATGATGTGGTGGGGGGGGGAGATGCACAGGAGAGACTGCATAGTGGGGGGGGATGAATTGGGGGAGCCACAGCGTGCAGCTTGGGGGGAGCACAGGTAAGACTGTGGAGCCTGGTCCTAACTCATCCTGTCTGCCATGCTGCTTACCTTTGCTCTGGCTCTGGTTTTAGAGGATCAGGTGGTCTGAGGGATGTGGCAGGGGGGCAAAATTTAGCAGGGTAGGCAAGGAGCAAGTGGCACTGGGGCACAGTGGGGGAAAAGGGAGAACAGAGAGGAAACACAAGGTGCAGGGTGGCTTTCCCCGTCATAGCTGTTTGGGGATGAATTTAAGACAACCCCAGGTTCTAAGCATGGAAAACTATAAAAAATGTACACATCTTCCACATCTAGAATCTATTTATGGGGGGGGGTTGCCTTGGATTTGGGTAACTATTGTATGGGTTGTGTAGCTGCAGCACTAATCAGTTCCATTCTGGATTTTACCTCAGTTGCAAACATGCTATTACCAGCCTTCCCGCCACCTAGTGTCAAGTCATTTAATAGTACCTACCACAGATAGCTACCTCCAGAGAGCTGGTTGTTTCTCTGCTAGAAACAGTGGTGTAATTTACACTAGCATGCATACTGATGTGAGATGCACTGGTCTAAATGTGTCGTGTCTGTGACTGACTTACGTAAAATACATACACAGTCCTGAGAGCAAGGGCTGGATGCTAAACGGCTGAGACCCACCTGAAATTCTAGTTGTGGAATAGGGAATATGGTTTCTATTTTTTTTCTTTTTGGACATAGTTAGCAAGGTCACTTATAATAAATACATGTGGTAACTGGATGATAACTTTCTTCCATGCTGAAGAAAAGCTGAAAATATTTCTGTGGTAGGAAAACAGAACTGTCCAGAAGCAATGTGACTAGGAGATCCTTGTGTAATATGGTGCATGATCACTGGGAGTGCATTCATTTCCTTCATTTTTTTTGTCTTTGACCTTTTAAAACTTTTTTTTGTTTAAGTGAGCATTGCTATAAATAGACAAAACAGCGACAAAATAAGAACCATTATACAAGATTATTTGCTATGAAGTACAAAGGAAGCTCTCAATTTTTTTTACTACAATTTCCTGTCTAACACCCTGAGTGATATTAATGCTTCACTAAATCAGCCTTATTTTCTTAGTTGTGAAATAATGATTTTTTTCCCCCTCTTTTGTACTCATATTGCCAAATTGACAGCTCACTCATGGGAAGCATTTTTTGGAGGAAAGGGATGTCCCTTTGTCCTGGATCAGTCAGCTTGCCACAGAATCTGACCTTTCAGCTTCTGTAGGCTTGTATTGTCTGAAAGACTGTTGATTTATTCTGTCTGATATGGGCAGTAATGCTGGCCTTTGAATTTCTCTTTTAGTACCGATGATGCTTGTTGCCTAAGTATGCTGTTGTCTAAGCCTGTCCCATTTCCAAAAGGTGGAAGTATGCTGGTGCTATTTATGTGGCATTTGGAATGATGCTAAGCACTGTCGACGTGTAGGGGGTGCACACGCACCCCTGAGCGTGGCGGTGCATCCTCTACAAAAAGGTGCCATGACACTGTTGGTGGCGCCTGTGGGCAGTCGCTGCTCACTACCCCCACGCCGCCACCAGTGATGGCATCTACGGATAGTCAGTGATTGCCACTGGCTGCGGTCGATGCTGCCAGCAGCATCTGCAGGTGGTCGCTGACTCCTGGTCAGTGCTTGCCACCCCCACTCCATCCCCGCCATCGCCATCAGTGCTGGTGGTGTCTGAGGGAGCTTCACGCTCCCGCTGCTGCCATGCCCCCCCAGCCACCAGGGGCACACGTCGTTCATGATGCTGAGGACCTCCATCAGTGTGTCTTTCCTGCACAGTAGACTACTTTTACTAAGCAATAAAGCATTACTGTCTACACATGTGCAGCAATCGGGCCAGTGTAGACTAATTTACAGCACTGTCAGATAATCCCATCAGACACGAGTACTATCCAACGGTGGAGCAAATAACTTCACTGTCTACACATGCCTTTAAAGTGAAGCAAGGATTAGTTTACTTTGGCTCAAATTGCACAGGAGTTTAGTTAGTTGCATTGGGCTCTTATAGATGTGCAGGGAGCCTGCTCCAGTGCACTGGAAATCCAGCACGATTAATTGAGTCTGCTGGCAGATGAAAATTGACACATTCCAGCAGCATTCCACATCGCATGTATCAACGTGCCTCTGCGTCCCTGCACTGACAAAATGGTGGTGGTGCGCTTTGAAATAAAACACGTTTGATGAGCTTTAGTTCAAAGCACCCCACAGCCACTTTTTTCAGTGCAGGGATACTGATGCATGTGATGGACGAGCGCTTTTAATTAGCACAGCTTGCTAATTAAAGCACCCGGCACTGTGTCCCAAGACGCATATAAAAATGCCCATTAATTGCATATGCAGACATGCTCCGTGAATCCTAATGTAGCTGGCAGGTTCAACTGAATGTCAGTCAATCAGGAATACTTTTTAGTGGGTCTCTATGATTCTAAGATGAGTCTTTGCCCTGAATGACAGCGTCACTCCTGTCTAACAAAAAGAGTCCATGAACAAATGCCTTTTCAGAGTGCACAGCTCCTTTGTCCAATTCACTCTTGCTTATTTATTTCCTCTCAATGACTAAATATGTCCCCAAACTTGTTTTTGTTAAAAGTCCATGTTCTGATCCCAAGATGAGGAGACACTGCAACTCCTCATTATTCAGGTGAGAATTGTGGGTGTTCTATGCCTTACAGCAGTGATTCTCTCCCAGGGTGCCATGGCACCCTGGGGTGCCTTGAGATCCTTTCAAGGGTGCTGCAGAGTGTCATGAAATGTTGCACTATTAGGTTTGCAAACATGATTCACAAGATAAACTCAGAGGTTTTAATAAGAGTCCACAAAGTTAAAAACGTGCTGACTTTCTGTGGTTTTTCTATAGCAGGAGAATTACTCTATTTTTCTGAAGTTAAAAAAAATGAATGAAAGTTAAGAGCTGGAATTTTCTGAGGAGTGCCTTGAATCGAAAAAAAGGTTGAGAACCACTGACTTCCAGGATTGTTCCCACTGTGAACTACTTTCTGTCATTAGTACTGAACTGTATGATATTCTAAAATCATTAATGCTGCAAGTGAAGATTTCCTTCTCTAAGTGCAATTTCCTTCTATCCCCATAACTTCTTTGCTCTTTCTCTGTATTGACTTCCAGATGATGACCACTGGATAGTGGACACAGATTATGACACTTATGCAATTCATTACTCCTGCCGGGAACTAAATGATGACGGCACCTGTGCTGATAGCTACTCGTTCGTGTTCTCCCGGGACATTAATGGATTATCCCCAGAGGCACAGAGAATTGTCAGGCAGAGGCAAGTTGAGCTCTGCTTGGACAGAAAATACAGACTTATTGTTCATAACGGTAAGTTTTTTCCTTCTTACAGGAATTTTATTTGGGGGGAGGAAATGACTGGTGCTAGGAAACTCCTCTGTTATATGGAGATTGTAGGAAGCACAACATTTAGAACCTGCAATATTATCTACTTTTCTTAGTAAAAACTCCAGGTCTTGAATATATTGATTTCTCCTTTCCTTTCATCCAGCTAAAGGAGAGCTGCGGGTACAGCTTCCATAGTAGCCCATCACATGAGTTGATACAATCCTGAGAAGAGAGTTGTGAAACCCCTAAATTAATATGGCAGGGAACAGTGATCACAACTGCTTTGAAGGAAAATTACCCCATTTACCTGAATACTAGATTACCCTGAATGTAAGATGTAATTAAATTCTACACATGGAAAATGTATAAATGTATTAGTTTTCCATGTATGGATTCTGATTATAATCATCTTAAATTCAAACCCTCCCCCCACTACTGCAGGTGTTGAAGGAGAGGTGATGAGGGGGGCAGTAATGGGGCTGCAGGTGGGGACAGACAGTGAGGCAGGCAGTGGGGGGGCATGAAGTGGAGCAGGCAGGGGGATAGTAATGAGGCAAGCAGTGGAGGGGTGGAGGGAAGGTGGTAGGGAACAAGCAGTGGGGCAGGCAATGAGAGGCAGGCAGTTTGGCCCCTGCTGCCTGTCCCCATACCTCACTTACCCCGCATTGTGTATGCTCTTGCCCTCAGCCTCAAGCTGTCTTGATTTCCCCCTTCCCATTCTCCCCCGCCCTGCTCAGGTCCCCGCCCCACCTTCCTTCATTCCTTCCCCTTACCTTTCTGCGTTGGCTGGAGCATGGAGCATGGCTCCAGCCCACCCTCATAGCAGTGGTACAGAGCCATGCTCCGAGCCAGGCTGCAGCAGGGATGGAGCCTGCCAGCAGGGAGAAAAAGTATGGAGGAGGGTGGCAGATCAGGGGAGAGAAGAAGTGGCATGGTGGGGAGGAGAATGGGGGCTTCAGGGGAGGAATGACCGGGTGTGCAAAGGTGGTTTGTGGGGAGGAGGCAGGCAGCAGCTGTGTCTTCAGCACCAGCTTCAGCCCCAATTCTGGGTTGGGGATGGAGCCACAGCAGCTGCCTGCCCCCTGCATCCTTGGGCTCAATTTTAAGGTGAGGGGCTTCTTCCACCTCCTGTTAAAAGGGGAAGAAAAAATGGTCTTCTAATGGAGTAAATCCAGTATGTGTCTCTAATCTACTTGAATTTCTCAAGTATGTCAGTGATACAGGAGAGAATGGAGAACTTTTAGATACTTTGACACTTTAAAAAGCCTTTGGGAATTTTCCTAGGAGGTCATTAAGGGAATTAAGACAATGTCTGCACAGTAAATTTATCGTGCATGGAAGCATCACTCTTAGGCCTGCTGTGCTGCTTCGGGTGTACTGCCTCTATCAGTAGCAGTGTAGCTACATCTGTTTGGTATTTTGGGGGTGCTAATTAGCAATATTGAGCAACTATTCCAGTTAGGTGCCCTCATGCTCATTATTTTTCCCTCCTCCCTTCACTGTTCTACTTTTTGTTTTCCTAATTTCTATCTATTTACAGTCTCACTGTCATCCTGTCACACTTTTAGCTTTTCTCATTCCTTGGAGTCTCAGAACAGCAGAGACTCCCTATGCCTGAAGAAGGGTGACTGTGCCCGAAAGGTTGCCAAGAACTCTTTTCCAACTGCTCAGTTGGTCTAATAAAAGATATCACGTCTACTCAAAGAACCTTGCCTGCCTTATGCTCATTAATGTCTGTCCAGAAGCACCATGTGGAAATAATGACACTGCTCTTGTGTGGAACAGCACAGCAGTCTAGATAGTGCCACTATTGAGCACAGTTAGTTTACACTGTAGAAATTTCAAATTAATAGGACATCTTACAGGTTAAATGGGCAAGGGTATTTCCAATGACAAGTTTTAAATTAAAAATAGTTTATATCTTGCTAAAGTAAATGTATCCTGGGAGAGCCTAAACCAAGAGCCAGCATGTTCTTTGCCACAGACTGAATTAAATGTGGTCCTAACTTAAGTTGAAATTCTTCTGGAATTGTGTGGCAGATCTACAGAACAGAATAACATTACTAATAATAAACAGGGACCTTCCTAAATTGCAGTGGAAATTCATGGGGCAGTGGCACCTTTAATATTGCTGTTTTCGCTGCACACCCCTCCTCTCCCCTGCCGAGTGGCAGTTAATGCTGTGAGCTTTGCCTCTCAGCAGCACATGGGGGTGTACAGCAAAAAGAGTGAGATTCAAGGTGGTGCTGCACTGCAGACTTCTGCCATGAATTAGGTAGGTCCCTAATAATAGACCGATATTATTAGTTATTATTGAAATTTGAAAAGAAATAAGTATATATCAGTACATGCGTGCATGCTTTTTAACTTCCTAGTGCTGCTCATGAAATATATTAACATAATTTTGTTTTGTTTCAGGATACTGCTCTTAAGGAGATCCTAAAGTATTGGGAGCAAAGTATGTAATAGCAGTATGGATAAAAAGTTTACCATCCAAGCGTTAAATCTTTTAAGCAGCTTTCCAATTTTGAATATATTTATCTGAGCTCTGCAGTTCACCTTGTCAATAAGCAGTGAAACCTTTTAATAAACTTGAATTACAGGGAGTACATATCATCTAGAGTGCAAATTTGTACATATGTGGATGATAGTTTTATTGGCAAAACATTATTATAGTACAACAGTTAAAATTAGGAATTTGAATGGTAGTGTATTGTGTTAATCTTTCAATTTTGTTATTGATTTTTTTTTTTTTTTTTTACTAAGAACCCTGTAGACAAATTAAAAAAAATCTGCTAGTTATTAAAATATATTAAATTTTCTTGAAATAACTTCTGCCTCCTTTATTGGACTGATGGGAAAGCATAATATTTAAAGAAAAAAAGATGTTTATTAATCACATCACAAAATAGCTTTAATTTATTAGATTTCTTTTGGACTGACACAGAAATACATATTTTGTAAAGAACCGATTGTTATAACTGTAAAAACAGTAAACATTTCTGTCTGCTGTAACTTTATTTATGGGATCTAGTAAAATAGTGCCTGAGTTTAAGTAACACCAAGGGTCACATTTCCAAACTTGGGATGTCAGCAAAGTCATGAACTCCAAAAATCCACATTTGAATATTAAGATTAGAATTTGCTGCAAAAAAACAGACTAGTCTACACAAACTTATGTTCAAGTATGCACAAGTTAGTTTGTGCACGAAAATTTATATGAACTTTTTCTTTTTGCTGTTTTAAGATACTACAAATCCATGTAACTCTAACTGGGGTGTAAAAACTTGCTTTCTATCTTTAGTAAAAAAATAAATAATAAAAATACTAGCTGAGGGTCTGCACTATAAATTGTTTTTGCTGTATTAAAGTCAATACAGTTTTCACTAGGTAAAAATCTGCCTTGCAGAGTACAATTCTGCTCTTACTTTTCAATCACTGTACCTCCATCAAATAATTATTTAGAAATAACAGACACGTTAGGTTGTCCGTGGTCATGTCTTCTTACTATCGTGTCCGTACCAGCTGCTGTCCTTTCTGAAGATGTTGCACAGCAGAAAAAAGCTTGGTACCATTCATGTCTGAAATGGGTAACATTGTATAAAATTGGGTTGACAGCAGAATTGGCAAAAGTGAAGGCCATTATCCAGAAAAAAAATGTTGGCAAAATGTTCAAATCCTGCTTGAAATTCTGAACTAAAATTAAGAGAATAGTGATGATTATTGGGCTCCACATGATGAAGAAAGAGATCATCAACACAAACAGAGTTCGAAATAGTTTGTAATCTTGTTGAGAAACTTGAATCTGATGATGTTCTGAGTAGGCTAAACCAGCATTTAATCTTCTTCTTGATGCTTTTGTAATCTGCATTGAGAAAACAAAATTATTTTAATTGAAACAATAGGTTTTAAAAGCTGCTGAAGTAAATGTTGGCATATCATATCCCTACCCCAAGAAACGATCATTAAAAAAAACATTACAGAGTTCCATCTTTATTGCCCCTCAATGATTCCATTTCAAATGTGTTCAATTTACAAGCATAAAGATATTGTCCTAAGTGCCAGCTGTGAAGCTCAACATCAATCTGGTAGTTAAGATTGGTTCTTCTTCCCCCACCCCCCATGTTTCATCACCAGCAATAAATACTTTGCAGGCCAAATTAAGGCCTTAATTATCCTTGAAATCCCATTACCTTCAAATTATGACTTGGGTTATGACATCTGTGTACACCCATCGATTTTTTTTTTTTATTTACACATGTGTAAATGGGAAACTAGCTAATGAGCCTGATGATGCACAAGAAGGTACAGAATCCAGTTAATTTGTGTAGCCATGTTGGCTCTGCGGAGTAAAAAAGTAGAAGCAGTTTCTTTTAATCAGAAAATATGACACACTAAGGTAACACATCTGCTGAGTGGGCAGAGCCATTTTTGCAGTTACTTTTCAGACCAGAGCTGCACTTCAGGATTCCAGGCTTAAATGAAAAATGTGGATCCAGCTGTTAATGCCTGAAGCATGTAGCTGTTTGAATCCAGAGTCCATGTTTATCCTATTGTAAAGGTTAGATGCTTTCAAAATGTGGTTCTCAGTTCAGATTCTATCACTTCTTACCAAGTCTTTCAGTTGAAGACTTGGGCCAAGCCCATCCCTATACACAGGGTTTTTTCAGTAGCTTGGTACATACATTAAGCTGCCTTGTCAGAATTATTCTCTTCATCATGTCCTTTGAACATACATTAACCAATGACTTCTCCATCACCAGTAGCAGGGCACTGGCAGTACCCTTTGTCTCTCCTGCTTTTTCACCAGTAGCATGTTGTAAGGTGTGGGTAATGTTTCTGTGCCTTATGGTTGTGTGCAAGGGTTGGAAATGGTGATTTTTTAGGGAATCCTTGGTTATAAAAAGTTGCCTGTAAATGCAGGCCATACTTCTGTCTTCCTTATAATTGCTTTAAATCACTGATGTGCACACACCCAAGGCTGACTGATGAAGCATTGCAGTATTAATTTGCTTTTGATCTGCTCCTCCACCAGCTGTGGAATGATTACAATCAGGTTATTTCAAAGGCCAGGCTGCTATTTCATATAAAACAATGTTTAGTCTGGAATAGATTTCCAATCAGTTTCTAATCCTGGGTGGCATCTGGTTTAAAAATGTTTTTTTTCTTAGAAGTTTATACAGCATGCATGTGTTAACTGTGAGGACCTGCATTTGTATTAGCAACTTATCTATTTTTTCACGCTAAGGATGAGAGAAGGCATATTCAGAAATGAAACCTATTGAAATGCTTTCCTAGAACCATCTTTTCCCAATATAAGGACACCAATAACTCCTGTTTAACTAGATAGCATACCAGTTACTCATACATGTAGAAACAGAGGCATCCTTGCTTATTAGGGGTGCACTGATAGAGATTTCGGGGGCCGATAATGATAGCCGATTTTTAAGGAGGCATATCAGCCAACACCGTCCGATTTCCAATACAGCTGCGTGCAGCTGGTAGGTCCGTTGTGGTGGAAGGGGAGGGAAGGGGTGTGGGGGGGCAAATCAACACCCCCCATGGTGGGGGAGGCAGGGGCAAGCGCTGCCCACCTGGGGTGTGGCGGGGCGCGGGATGGAGCCACGGCTCATCTGGGGGGTGGCTTCCGCCGCTGCTTGCACCCTGGAGGGCATAGGCAGGTGGGGATGTGTGCCCCTAGGTCTGCCTGGGGCAGGGCGGGTGGGCTGCAGTTGTGAGCTGGAGCTGGGGTTGCACCAGGCTCTTCTTGGTGGGGGCTACAGAGATAGCTGCAGCCACCCCAAATTTCGCTGTAGCCCAGCTCCCAGGGCCCCCACGTAGAGGGCAGTCAGCAGAGGGTGCCAAGTGCACGTACGCACATTCACATGCACATGGCCACAAGGCAGAAGAAAATCCAGGTTTATCTCCTTAAAATGAGAAAATTCAGGTTTTACCACATTTTTCAGTGATGAAAAGAAAACCTGGATCCCTGGTGCTGACAAATCCATAGTGCTTGGAATACTGAAAATGTTTTGGTCTGTTTGATGAACTAAAACTGGGCTCTGGCAGAAAGAAACATTTCCCATTGCAAAACAATGCTACGTCTCCTGTCTATCACTGTTTATAAGTGATCTCTTGTTTGAAACTATAACACCTGAATTGCTATCATGCTCTTTTGGGGGACAGTCTTTGAAATCCATCATCCATTATGCAGCATCCACACAGACATCTGTACTTCAAGTAGGAATGTGGGGCACAAGGAACCATGGATTGGTACAGCATAAAAGAAATGCAGCATTTTAAGTAGACCACAGCTTTGAAGATACAGACACAAAGTCAGCTGTTTTTTAGAGCTCCCAGGGCTGATGGAAAGGATGCCAAGGACTAAACCTTCATCAGAAGAAAGTATCCAGTCACAAGACCCAGTATCTCTTCTCAGACAAAAAAGGAGTGTTTACCCAAAAGGAAATGGGATTGTGAAGAAACCTAGAGAATGGCAAGAATAGAAGAAACCTTAGGGAAGGTAAGTGTAAGTGGAGCCTGCCCCCAGGAATAGCTGTGATGCCTTCTAGTTGCCACTCGGCCCTTGTCTCTCACTATCCCTTTAAGGATCCTCCCCTTCTGATTCCTGCCACACCTTGATATAATATGTACTTGTTAAAAAGGAGGTGACCCCAGGGATTCTGGAGCCAGGTCTTGTACTAATTAGCACATTCCACTACTCATCACCTTAAGGGCTTATTACATGGCCTCTTCCTCTCCCTTTATAGCCATGCCCAAGCCTCCCAGGTGTTACCCGTCTGTTCACTTTTGCCCCTTTTGGGCTGTGCTCAGCTCTTTTCAAGCCCAGAGCCGGAACGGGGCTCTGGGCCCCACCGGTGCTGACCCTGGGACATTGGTCCTGAGAGGGTGACCAGAGGGTGGGGCACCTGTCAAGGGGCAGGGCTACCCATGCAGCCCTCAACAGCTTGCCAAAACTGGGTAAGTAGCCCTCTGCCCGAAATAATTGCCTGCCCCTGTCTTAGATCAAATAGGAAGGCACCTAGTGACAACAGGTATCTTCAGATGTTGGCAGCTTGCAAGCAGAGTTGGGGTTTTTTGGATAACAGGTTGCGGACTTTAGATGCCTAAGTCCACTTAAGTTCTGTTTTAGGCACCTAAGTCTTCTTTGGATCAAGACCCTAGCACTTAAGACATGATTTTTAATGGGTTCTGAGTATTCTCAGTTGCTTTTAACTTCAATAGACACCTTGTAGTAGTGGGCCCTTAGAACCAGACTGGTTCTTCAACAGCAGGCCACACAGGGAAACTAGTTTGGGGTAGCTAACCTGCAGCATGTGTACCACAAGGTCTCAAGTAGCAGCAGCAGCCAAGCGCAACAAGTCGGGGGGCTGCTACTGCCACGGCGCAGCCCCAACAGGCGAGCTTGGAGCCAGCGCGGGGCTGGGTTACAAGCTGGTGCTGAGTGTGGGGGAAAAGCAGCCCCTCCCCCGCCCCATGGCCGGTGTCCTGTGCTGCAGCCACTCACAGCCTGTGTGGGACTACCTGTGCCTGCTCAGGACAGCCCCGCACAGGCTGAGAGCAGCTGCAGCAGGGAGCGCCAGCCATGGGACGGGCGAGGGGCTGCTTTTCCCCACACTCTGCACCAGCTCCTTCCCTGCCCTCCCCGCCATTTACCTGAGCTTCCCGCGCTGGGACAGCCACGTGGTCCCAGGCCAGAAGCCCCTAATGGGGCTTCCAGCTGCGGGGGCAGGGCCAGGCAGGCCCTGCTGTTGCAGGAGCTCGCTGAAGATTCTCCTGGGTCCTACTGCCCCTGGTTCCTGTCATTTTTGACAGGAACCAAGGACAGATACATTTTAATTTTCAAAAAACTTTTATGGGCCCCGCAGGACAGATAGAATGGCCTTGCAGGCTGGCTGATCCAGCCTGCGGGCCATATTTTGCCCACCCTAATCTAAGAGATCCCTAGGTATCTTCTGTTCTGGGATATGCATAGAACTGCCCCATATCTTCTGCTTCCTAGGAAAAGGCCATAACCACCAAGCTATAAGCTATTTTACATTGAACAGTCGCTGGATAATAAATAGAAATAATCTGAAATTCCTTTGGCTAAGGAGGGTGTTGAACTCAGATCTCCCATTTCCTGGACAAATACTTGAGAGTTTATTGTAATAAAAAGGAGCAGTGGCAGCACAAACACCTCTTCCTTTGCTTGTGGGTGTTTTTTGTTTGGTTTGGGTTTTTACAAAAAACAAACAAACAAAAAACCCCAAACAAACACAGTGAGCCCTCCTCCATCTGTTCAAAAAACAGACGTAGGAGATGGTTCTAGGCTCTCTACTGGATAATCTTCCTGCTCCAATTCACATGCTTACATTTCTGAGATTTCAGATATCTGTGCTCAGTGTTTCACACTGGCTAACATGATGTGGCCCAGTGCTTGGTGTTTTGGATCCAACTCTGAAATACTTTACTCTCCCTGTGCAGAAGCACCTAACACCAAAGTTCCAGAATTCACTCAGCAAAGGAGGGGAGAACAGATGACTAAAGAGGTTAGGTGACTTGGCAAATAAATTATAGGTTCTCAAGTCCTTTTTTTAATCTAGTCCCAGTTTTAAAGGTATTTAGGCATCTACCACTCATGCTAGGCTGGATACTGCCCAGCTTCTGGCTCCCAGACCCATTTTTAGCAGATAACTAGGGCTGTGCAAAGTTTCGACCGCTGTTTCAGCGGTGTTTCAAGCGTTTAGATGCTCAGAATCCTAAATCCGAAAATGTTCAAAATGAAACTAAACAAGTTGAAAGATGTTTTGAAGATGTTTCAGTGTTTCAAAGGTGTTTCACACCTGGGCTTGCAGGGAAAGA